TTTGTTTCACTTTAAATCGTGTTGAAAGAAGGCTCCCCAAGCATAGGCTCCTGAAAACCAGAGCATCTTGAAAGGACGCGCGGCCCGGACCATGCCTGAGGAGACTCCATCGATCAAGAAGGCCAAAGCCGAAGGGCAGCCGAAAGGAAAAGCCAAGACCAAAGCTAAGAGTCAGATTGGCGGCGCCAAGACTGTGCAGCCTGCCGTCGCGAAGCTGCCAGCGAAGGGCTGCACCAAGGCAAAGCCACCAATTGTGTTGGAGAAGGTCACTGTCTACACGTGCCCAAATTCGCACAATTGGCGGGTGAAGCCGCATGGCGAGCGCAAGGACAAAGCCTTTTCCTGGAAGTGTGGCACGCAAGAGGCTTGGCAGAGCCTTCGCGAGCACGTGCTGTCCTTTGGCAACTGACTGCAGCCCAGCAAGAGGAACCCGTGCATGAGCACGAGGATTTGCCCGGCATTAGGAGGATTGCCCCATGATTGGCAGAGGAATTCCCTGCCAGGAGTAAGCCAAGATGCGGGGGAGCAGGCTTCAACTGAAAAAATCATTTGCCCTTGCACGCACCTTGAGTGGCTTGAGGGTTTGTGGTTTCTACGGTCTATAGTCCATACTACACGGTTTTCCTCATGCTTTTTATTATGTGGATTTCAGGTTTTGGGCTTGCATGGGGTTTAGGGCCTTATAGGGTCTCTAGGATTTGGGGTGTAGGGTTATAGAGTACTTCCAAATTGAAGGTTGCATGCGCTTGGAAGGTGAAATCCAGAAACGTGGCTTGGATTTCAATGGCCCCAAGGTCCATTTTATGGGCCTTCGTCTGACCCAGGAACTGATGACCATATGTTTGCCACGCTTTCCATATACACCAGCAATGAGGAGTTCATATACCTATAGGGCGAGCATAAGTATTAGACATATATTAGCTGTGTTGGTGGAAACTCTCCAAATAAAGTAGACTTTTTTGCAAGACGGTCATTCCGTCGGAAATTTTGTGCAAAGATATGTCGCAAACATATACAAGGC